GAAAGAAAGAAAGAAAGAAAGAAAGAAAGAAAGAAAGAAAGAAAGAAAAGCATACAGTGGCTAGTTAGGGAGAAATATAGGGCTGTGTTGGGAACTCTGTCCCCGGGATAGCTACTCTAATGACTGGGGCAGCGGCGGTCATTTAAGGTGGACCATACCCGGAGCAAACGAGAGGAAGATTTTAAATCAGTGTGTTTGTATTTTTTTTCTTTGCCAGGAGCATTACTGTATTCATATCGTTTTTATTTTGTACAAGCAGTACAGTATGCCACTGCAGAGCTACTTCTTATAGCAAAACTGTTCAACATTTTCTCGCTGTATAATGTTACATCATGTGAAAATGTTAAGATTATTGTAGGTGGGATTGTTAGGAGAACAAATATACAACAAACAAAAACAGAACAAAAAAACCACAGCCATTATTCCATCATGAAATTTAAATGAGCTCCTGTTCTAAAGAGAAATATTGTTTTTTTTTTTTTTTTTACTAAATTACAGAAAAATGATTATTTGGGAATATTTGCCTTTTCTTATTGGTTTATTTCTTCTGCAAAATTGAAATGCAATAACTACTGAAAACTTTATTGCCAACAATTATGGGTATTATTTTCGCAATAAAGAATCTGCAGTGCATCAGGTGACATAACTCATTTGTAATGTTAGTCAAGGGCGCCTCCATAAAGTTTTCAAACCGGCGTGGCCAGGTGGATGGTAAATAAATAAATAAATAAATAAATAAATAAATAAATAATTAAAAAGCAGGAACATCTTATATTCATGTTAACATTTTTATATAGCCATTTCCCATTCCGTATCTCGCCAGTGGAGCAGCCCTCTCAAGTCCACACTTATCCCTATACATTAAGAAAGCAGCGACTAAATGCGTATTCCACCTGATTCAGGCTTTGATTTATTAAGGAATCCTTTTTTTCTTCTTTTTTTTTCTCTCCCGTTTCTCTCCTGTTTATTCGTTCTCTCTTTTGTATACACAAACACACGGAGTGCGACCTTAAATAAGGAGGGCTCTGTAGGTGTGTAACGGGACCCGCTGCCTCCCCTCAGTGATGCGGTGAGTCTGCGCTCCCTCATGTCCGCTATATAAGGCGCGCACAGCAGCAGCGTCGCACAGTTTTTAGTGGACAGCTCCGCGGTGCTGAAACCTCTCTATCTCCCCTCTCTCTCTCTCTCTAACACCCGAAGGCTTTCACTGAGGAGCGGCGACCATGGAGGGATTCTCGTGGAAACTTTTTCTCCTCTCCTGCCTGTTTGCTGCAGAGGGCTCCGCGCAGGACTTTGGACAGACGCAGTTTATTTGCACGTCAGTTCCCAAAGACGTGGACTTGTGCACCGCGGCGATGCAGAACAGCGGACCGGCGGAAGACCTGAAGACCACAATCATTCAGCTGCGGGAGACCGTGCTGCAGCAGAAGGAGACCATTGTGAACCAAAAGGAGACAATCAAGGAGCTAACGTCCAAGCTGAGCCGCTGCGAGAGTCAGAGCCTCCCGGCGGCGGCGGGACCCGGGGGGAGGAGACCGGGGGGCAAGAACACCATGGGGGATGTATCCCGAGGTACCGCAGACACCCTGGCGCAGCTGGGACAGACTTTACAGACGCTCAAACAGAGACTGGAGAATCTGGAGGTAGGCTGACGAGAGAAGCGCTCACGGCTCAAAAAAGTTCATTCAAACGTTCCCCTTGAGTTAAACTCCGCTGTATTTAGCCAAAGGGAAGTATCCTGAATGTTCTGGGGAGTTAGTAACACATTTTTTTAATCCCTTTATATTAATTTAAAGGAAAATTATAACAGCAAAGAAACCAAGATGGTGTTCTCCATTTGTCTTTAACTCCATATCTGTCCCCCCCCCCCTTTCTAATGCAGCAATACAGCCGAGGAAATAACAGCGCGCAGGCGAACAGCCTGAAGGATCTGCTGCAGAACAAGATAGATGACATGGAGAAGCAGGTTCTGTCCCGGGTCAACATAGAGGAAAGCAAGCCGGGACACAGGAACGAGAGCGACCAGAGGAACAGAGTGGAGACCACGCTCTCCTCTCTGCACGACCGGATCTCCGACCTGGAGAAAGGTGCGTCTGGATTTGCGTTACGCACAGGATCTCCAGCTGAACCAGCCTTCGTTTCACTTCTCCAGACCCGTTTTCTCTTTTGCTTCGCTGAGTTGATGTTTCTCATTGCCAGTGAATCACAAAACTTGCATTAGAGGTTNCAAAGCGGACCTTTGCTGCGGAAGTCATAGGTAGAGAGAAAGTTTGAAGGGCGCGCCTGGCACTGGCGCATTCTGGAGCTGAGGGTCTTTTCAGTATTTCGACACGTGCAAATGCGCGTGCTCACGGTGTAAATGAAAGCCATGAAGAGGGAGGGGACGGAGACATCCTCTGCATCAGCAAAAAAAAAAAAGTAATCTCAAAAGTAGAAAAAAATATACACACAGTGATAATGCAAATGAACGAATTTGCAACAACGCCCTGGCTTATTTTCTTTTTCTTTTTTTTTTCTAGAAATGTGATGTAATTAGAATACCTGCACTGTATGGAGGTCTTCCATTTAAAGCCAATTCAAACTAATTACTAAAACTTATAGGGTGGCAACCAAAACTTAAAATCCAGAACAGAATTTCAGCATGTTTGTAATGCTTTTTTTTTAATGTTACCTACTTAATATTAAACATACACATTAAATTATGTATCAGTTTAAACATAATTATAGCCAATAGATGTCATATTTTAGCATTACTGTATATGTAAACATTTTCATTGTAAAGCGAAATAAACAGAAGCCTGCTCCTTTAAGAGGTTCTGTAAGTTAACTCCACCAATGTGAATGTAGTTACATTATGCCAGGGATTACATAATCAACATATGAATTCCTTATCCCTTTCATCTGCAGGCAAAGAGACCAGGCCAGCAGACAGGTTCCAGCTCACCTTCCCTCTTAGGACCAACTACATGTACGCCAAAGCCAAGAGGACTCTCCCCGAGATGTACTCCTTTAGCGTGTGTCTGTGGATCAAGTCCAGCGCCTCACCCGGCCTGGGGACGCCCTTTTCCTACGCAGTTCCAGGCCAAGCCAACGAGCTGGTGCTGATCGAGTGGGGGAACAACCCCATGGAGTTCCTTATCAACGACAAGGTCAGTTTTGAGTCTCTAACGCCTGGATTTAGACCCTGTGGCTGATTGAGGTTATCCACAAATTAGCTTTAAGAGGTCCAAACTGTGGGAAAATGCTTCATCGCTTTTTTTTTTATTTTTTATTGTGCTTGGATGAGTCAGAAAGGCCAGACCAAAACCAGGATAATAACAGGTGATGAATTGCTCAATAGAGGCTATTTTTATATAAATACCTAAAAGGCGAGACACGTGAGAGAGGAAGTGATTCAGCAGAAGGATGAGAGGGTGTTGATCATTCATACCATTGTGTACCCTGAACAGGATATTGTTACCAACATGAAAAGACGGTGCACTCAGGAGATTATCTCCTCTCTTCAGGTTGCAAAACTGCCGTTCAGCATCAACGACGGAAAGTGGCATCACCTCTGCATCACGTGGACCATTCGCGACGGGATATGGGAGGCCTTCCAGGACGGAGTGAAGCAGGGCCACGGGGAGAACCTGGCACCGTATCACCCTATCAAAGCAGATGGAGTTCTGGTTCTGGGACAAGAGCAGGTGAATACTCCTTCTTTTTTTTCTTTTTTTTTTTTTATTTAAAAAACCGCAACCTCTGCTCCCAAATCCCTCGCAGACGTCTTGTGGAAACAACCCTTTGACTTATTATCTGTTTAATTTCGCAAGAAAGATTAGAGGTGGAGATATTCACAAAATAAGACTGCGGGGACACTTAGAGAGGAGTCCGGTTAAGCTTCAGCTGTCTAATTACTGTGTTCATTTGAGATTTGAGGCATAATTTCATTCTGAGAATTTGGATAAAGCATGATTCATTAAAGATGTAGAGTTCAATTAGCAAACACCGAAGTAGTATTGAACTTTGGTAATAGCTAATTTCTTCTCATTTATATTGTCTCTTTCTCTTTATAGTGCAAAATAAACTTGTGTCTGAGGACAAACTGCTTGACATAATGCCGTTGTTTCATAACAATTTTTAAAGATTTTTCAACCACAAAACTATTTGTTATCATATTTTAATGTTTAAATTCAGCACTTTAAAATAAAAAAGAAGCATTCATCAACCTTCAGCTCATGATTAATGACATCCCTGCTTATGCACACATCCCGGTGCATAAGCAGTGAAATGAAAAACTGTTTACAAACAAACATTATTGATAGGTCTGGCTGTATGTTTAGGGTGAATTTCTGCCCTAGTTAAATTTTTCTGCAACTTTTTGCAGACTTTGTTCCAGGTTTACTCTGTATTTGGTTGAACCCATCTCTCCCCATCACCTTTTACCAGCTTCCTTTTCGGTGTGTGGAGAACCTACAAACAACACTTCTTATGACTTTCTTTACGTTTTCTTTACCCTCTCCACACTTCCGAGCCAGGTTTATCGAGTGCATGACTATTTTAGTCTGCAGCTCCTCCCTCCAGTGTTACCCCCGAGGCCTATACCTGCAAATGAGCCTTCTTCTATAGTTTTATTTCAACAGTGCCTTACTTCCCGATGCTGTTCCATCAAGTCCAGATTTGTGGAAGTGCATGACTTGTCCCACCTCCGCTGCAGATTCAGTAAAGTCACTCTAGGCATTTTGGCTGCTTCTCTGATTAACGCTTAATGATCCAGGCAGGCTGGATGGATTTGCTGTTTTGGTGACTTTTTGGAGAGAATCGTTTGTGCTGGGTTTTGGTTTATTTAACGACGTGATTGGCATCCTAAAAGCATAACGCAATTTTCGCATTTTAAACATTATACGTCAGCTTTCTTCCATGTCACAATTTGTGTGAAGTACTCTTATGGTTGTAATGAGACAAAATGTGAAAAGCCCTTGGAAGTTAGGTTCATACATTGACGGTGCTCTGTTGTCGATCCACAGGACTCGCTGGGTGGAGGCTTTGATGCAACACAAGCATACGTTGGCGAACTCGCACACTTAAACATCTGGAACAGGAAACTCTCAGCCACTGAAATCGCCAACTTGGCAAACTGCAACAGCAAAGCGTTTGTCGGTAACGTCTTCTCCTGGACAGAGAGCAACATTGAAATATTTGGCGGTGCCACCAAATGGACCTTCGAGCCGTGCAGCTCAATCAACTGAGTCGCAGCTTCTTGCTTCAGAAAAGAAAAGAAAAAAAAAGGCCTCCGTGTATTTCTGAGCTTTTGTCGTTCCTGTCCTCATTTGACCTTTGTTTAGAGAGTAATTGGTAAGCTTAAATCTGGGATTTATGTCATTCTTAGGTATTCCTGTGCAAAAAACAACGCCTCCAAACTTGAGAAGGGGGAGGAAAAACAAAAACAAAAAAAGAAAATCTCATTCCTCAAAATTGGTATCTGATGTTTTTTTTTGTTTGTAGTTTTTTGTTTTTTTCTTGGATGTTCAGTTGAAAGCACACCTAAGCTTTTCGTTCTGGCTTATTTTCGTCTTGGACTGGCAGCTGGCAATCTGCACCTTATGTTTCTACGATTCACAATCCAAGTGAGGAATTACATAAACCGTCCCATTAGCCTCCCCCCCCCCACACCCTCCCTGTTTCCTCCGGCAGTGGGAGATTACGCTGTCCATCCAATTTTTGTCAGTGTTTGGCGCTGTGAAATGATGTCCGATGCGGTACAGCTCCTAATGACCCCCCCAGCCTCCTCTTCCTCGGCCCGATGCCCAAACCCTCCCAACCTACCGCCCCCCAACCCTCACACCCTCTCCACCCTCCGGAACTTGCACTGTGACTGACTAAGAGGACACTGCAAAGGAGGAAGGACTCTGCAAAAAGTCAGACTGCGGGTAAAAGTCGATTTGTAATCATCGTTCGCTTCAAGTTTTTCCCTGTAAGAATGTCGTGAACTTGCCAACATTGCTACAAAGCCTGGGTGCCTTGGGCTGGTACAAACATTCAGCACATTTGGTATGTTTTCAGTTGCAAATTCAGTGTTTACTAGTTTGTGTTTTTCCTTTCCTTTCTTTTTTTTTGTTGTTTTGTTTGTTTCTTGAGCTGGATTAAGTTTCTTGTTCTCTCTCGTTGGTAAATGTGATTCACTTACAGTTTGTTATCTGACATGACGTGTTTCGGCAGGTGTTTGTACTACTCTGTATTAGGAATGTTACAGTGTCTGTATAGTAACAGCATGACTGAAAGAGTGCTGTGAAAGCATTGTTGAAATCTGCTTTACTATCCTCTCTGGGTCTGGGTTTTTTACTGTATTGTTATATGCTCCAAGCATGGCAAAACTGACAGATGAAAAATTTAATTTTTGTAATAAAATTGTGATACTAAATGTCATCAAGTATCTCTGGCTCTGTGTGCGTGAAACAGACATTGCGGTGTTCCTCTACATCAGGTTGTGAAGACGGAGAGGGAGCACCTCCAAAGGCGGAGAGGGGTTTTTACAGATGCCTGTTAGCGAAGCAGTGTCTCTTGTAAAGGTGGAAGCACAAGCTGTGTTGTTGCTGCTGCTGCTGCTGCTGCTGCTGCTGCTGCTGCTGCTGCGAGGCCCCATGCCTGCACTGGAGTCATGGAGGCATTCAGAGGGGAGACATGCCTGGTCCTATCAGCCTTCCACCATCTGATAAAACAAAAACTACCAATTCACTTTTATGAACAAGATTTACCTCACATGACACGTTGTGTATTTAAAGCTGAGCAACATTTTTGGCACTTTCACTTTGATTAAGACTTCCATTTCATATAGTGCCTTGCAAAATGATGAATGCCCCTTTGATTTTGAAATCCAAACGTGTTTTATGTGGATTATATGTGACAAAAAAACAAAAAAAACACAACTTAGTGCAGAATTTTGAAGTGAAAGAAAATTACAATTTTTTCTGCTTCCTGTTGCTTTACGAATAAAAAATCTGGACAAGTGCAGCGTGTGCAGGATGTGTTCAACCCCCCCTGAGTGAAGCCGTTGCATAACCACTTTCACCGCATGAGCAACTGCAGGCTTTGAGGAAACATCTCGCAGCTTTGCACTTGTAGAGATCATTTATCTGTTCTTTAAAAATTAGCTCAAGATGAGTCAGATTTGGATGGAGATAATTGTCTTTGATCAGAACCATTCAGTTGTGGTGGTGGATGTGTGTTTGGGATTGTTGTCACCCTGGAAAGTCAACTAACCTCAGTCACATTTCTGAGTCTTTTCAAGCCCTTGCCAGGTTTCTCTTCTTGTATCTATCTCCATTTTTCTTCCCATCAACTGACCCTTATTTCCGTCGCTGGTAAATAAAGAGAAGCCCAACAGCAAGTTCCCTTGTGAAGATTATGTATGAGTTGATATTCATCAGTTCTCCCAACCACTCAGCGTTAGCTGCAGTTGACTCTCTGAGCTGTATACCCTTTCACATCCCAGTATTTAAATCTGAATCTGTTTATGCAGTCTGCCCTCCGTCCAGCTTGACAGTTTGAGAAATTATCTGAGCGCAGGAGGCCACATTTCAGGCTCATGTCAGTCATGTGTAAATGTCAGGAAGGTCAAAGCTCCGGGGAGGGAAGCATCGCTCTCATCCCCTCCCCGCTCTCTGTTTTCCCAGAACACACACCCTGCATGACAAAATACCCCCCAAAAAAAAAAATACCCGAGACTGGACTGTGCTTTGATTCTTGACAGTCTAACAAGTCAGTCTTACTGTGGATAATATTTGATCACAAATGTCCCCATCTGATGTTAGATGTATTGTAACACAATGAGACATCCTCATTTTGGCATTCAGGTCTTTCCTGGTTAGGCCTTGTTCCCAACACTGCTAACTTCTAATTTGATACTTTCATAGTTAAAAGAGAGTAAAGGAACCATGCAGAGTCTATTAGAGGGCCATAACAGGTATCCACACAAGAGAGGTTTTACATTTCAAATGAACAAAATTAAATGAGCAAAAGTTCTTCTTCCGGGATCAGAGCTGAAGAAGTCTCTGATTTATTGGTAATTTGTATGTGCTGTTGTTCAACATGGTAATTAAATGTTTCAGCATCTTTCTTTCAGCTCCAGATTCTCCAGAGTGAGAAAGTTTAAGATGAGCTGTCACTGAGCTTCACATCCGTCTGACAACTAAACACCTGCGGTTTTCAGAAACAGGTTTTCTGGACAGAGAACTGGATGAGCAGGATGTTAAAACCAAAACTCCCCAACCAAGAGGGAGGCGGTCCATAGTTTTCAGGCTGCAAACTTTGACCTCAGACTTGGAGGAGCTTCCTCTGACTCCAGCCTCTTCAGTAACACGCTTGAGGTTGAAAAAGCAAACCGAACAACAACGTCTTCAAAAAGCAAAGCTGACGCCCTGAGACCAAACCAGCCAGCAGTCTCTCTCTCTCTCCATCACTTCAGCTCCACATCCTGAAGGGCAGAAACAGCCCTGAGACAGTCCGCTGGGAACAGCATCGACTTTATGCTGACTGTGCAGCGGACGCTACTCTTGCTTTGAGCTTAAAGGGATCAGAAACCCCTTCATAACATCTGCGGCACCATCCAGCAGCAACACCGCAAAATTTCTCAAGGGGCATGGGAACGCCTTGTCCAGATAAATATAACACATCTGGATCAAGCAACCAAAAGTCCCATGACCACCTCCAGTTATGCTTCTGGCCAAAAGGTCCTTAAAGCTGTCTAAATTTGATCACTTTAAGCTTAATCGCAGATTGATTTAATTGCAGGCATTTATTAGTTATAAATCTTAAATCTCAGTATGACTTTGAAGTGGATTTTCTTTGAGAGAGCGCATCGACCCTTCGTCTCCTTGTGATTCTCAGCAGCTGTCGGTGATTCATTGGTGCAAAGCGCTTGTTTCTGAGCAGGGCGTATAAAAACAGGTGAAGTGATTTGATTCACGAGCGAGTTGTCCTAAGCCCCTGCTGCTGTGTGTGATTTAAAGCTCAAGAACACTTTGTTTTGCTTGCAGACCCAAGAAGGACTAATGAGCCATTTCAAGCATTCATCTCTCGGAGAGAACGCATGAAATACCTTCTGAGTGAAACTTTTGAAAATGAAACTTTTCCGAAGAGCATTGTTTTGTGCTCCCAGGAAACAATCTTTTCATGATGATGTAAGACTCTGAGACCAGAAGGCTCATCTCAGTCGTTGCACCGCTCAGTGAATAATGACAAAAGCTTCAGCTGCGTTCGGCGGACCACACAAGCCCGTCTGACCTTTTTGACACCACTCCACGCGACGCCCCGCTACATAACCGCTGCATACAGCAGATGCCTGCCTGCCATAAAGCTGCAGAGCAGTGATGGAGGATATTTTTGAAGTGTGATTGCATTCATGCGCCAGACTCTGCTTTGTGCAGAATTTTAAGCAGACGGACCAAAAATAGATCCGAGCAGCCAAAAGGAGGATTTTTTTTTTTTAAAAACCCTCGTCTCGAAGATTAAGCCACTTCTTACGTGAACAGTCTTGGACTGACAACTTTGCGTGATGAAAACAGACGAGGCGAGTTGGCAGACGCAGAAGGTCGACTGATTACGGTACAGTTTCACCGTAGGCACTCGTCGTAACACCAGCCTGAAGGGCAGAGAGCGCCAGTGAGAGGTTGTTCTGCTGCTCAGGTGAAACATGTTTCATAAGGTTCTGCCTGCGGATCACATGACCCAGGGCATTTCGTCATCTGGCACTGCAAACCAACACAGTGGTCTCTTGTTAGAGACCTTAGACATATAGTAGCAAAGTTTCGCAATGGAAAACTAAAGTGAAAAAAAAACAAACAAAAAAAAACAAACGAAGGTTCAAAGTTAGGAGGTGAAACTGATGGCTGATTTCTCAAAGCTCGCTTTTTGTCAGGGCGGTTGCTGTTTTCCACGTCGGTTTCTGCTGTTGCTTCTCTCTCCATCGTACACAAAATCAGTTGAAAACCAAGTGGGCTTTTCTTTTCACCTCACATTTCTAAGCTACCGTATTGGTCATCACATAAAATCCCAACAAAATGAGGCGTGACAAAGTGTGCAGGGCACTGCTTATTTGTTCTAAGGCATCCTGCAATCAAGAGTCATTCAGTACACACCTCAGCTCCGATATCTACCCAAGCTTCACTCCTAAATGACTCTTCTTTTTCATTACGTTTTCTGGACTGGTGTTTAACGTCGCCAGTATCTCCGAAACATCCAGTTACTTTGGTTAGTTTTGATATTAGATGACAAACTAAACTTGAAACACTCCAACAGGACTCATCCCACCCCTCTACTGCAGCCATTCTTTGCGTATGTTTGCTTTTCCTCACATCACAACTGAGTTAACAATAGCCAAAATCAAATCAATAACTAATTAAAGATAAACTCCGTATGCCAAAAAAGTAGCATGTATATTTTA